ATTATTATTATTATCATTATTATTAATCCATTGCTCCCAACCCTTAACAGGCCCACTAATTAAGCTCACAAATTAACCCACTATAATAATATATAGCTAGCTACCACTTGCCCTGGCAATTCCTAAGTCTAGCCCCATTAATTAATTTCCACCAATGCCACTCCAATACACACATAAACAGACAAAACTCACTTTTACCTACTTTCCTTCCCATCCCATAAAAAAGAGGGATGGTAGAGCCAGGGGGGAGGGGTAGGAGAACTTGTAATTTTTTTCAAGAATGACACTTCATTTTCTCTTAATCTGAGTTTTGTTATGAAGAAAAACAGACTAGCCCCCCCTGCCCTCCCACATAAAATTGATCCTAAGCCCCCAACCCCCCCTCCCACTTTATAAATTGCTCTGCTATCCCTGTTAAAGGGAGAAGATTTCTATTGTTTTTTCCTACTACATGTCAATAAAAAGTTGACAAACCTAATCTCGAATTTTCTTGTAAGAAGGGAGCCATGTCAAGCATATCATCTTCTCTATAAAAAAGAAACAAAACAATCAAAATGTAATGGAATTTATCAAGATTTAAAGTTGGTGCATAATTACTGTGTATTATTATTAATTTGCTTTTATATATAAGTGTAAAATGACTTTTATCCCCTAGTAAAGTAACAAATTGCCTTTATATATACCTACTAACTATAGGACTACAATGTACACTCGTTTGAAGAATCGTTGTCGGGTTCAGAAACATAGAACATATGAGGCTGAGACCGAAATGGCACATAGGGAATGACATAACTTCATTGTAATTTATTCATTTGCGCCATCCATGCAGTCGGTTTAGAATATATGCCAAATGGGTATTAAGAACAGTGGATGATGTCACAGGTCGCCGGTCACAGCATGCATCTGATTAGCGTATTTCCCATGTGGCATTTCTGTCTCAGTCATTTTGTTCTATGTTTCTGAACCCGACAACGATTTTTCAATTGAGTGTATAAATTGAGTGTATAAACAAAATTTAAGATTAAAAAAACTTTAGCCAATCAGGATAGAGGAAAATCAGTATCATATTGGCTGTAGCCAATCATAATCTCTCTCCCATGGTAATATCAATAACCTCTAAGTTTTTTCTAGGTCTCACTGCTTGCTCCTTATTGCTTCAAGTTTTAATTGATAAGTTTGATTCATTGATAATTTCACTCTATGCCATGATGGGTTAACTTTCTTCAAGAGGTCATGGTATAATCCCTTCAAAAATTCTAGCCAAGTTTCAGCATAACTTTATAATTCATTATTATTATAATCAAGCCATTCAATGTCAGCTGATGATTGTTTTGTTCAAAAGTGATATACTAACTTACTTTTCTTCTGGTTCATTCAACTTATCCATATATTCATCTTTGACATACACATGACATGTTGAGCAGGCTAATGAAGCTTCACAGGCGCCTACAAAAATAAAAAGATAATAACTATATCAGTTAGTAGTTGGGCCTGGTGTCTGTGTGGTAAATAATTGTAACTGTACTGACATTTTGGACATTAGTCGATCATCCATCACAGTAAAAAGGACTACCTCATAAACAAAGGACAAACATCCAAAATGTCTGGTACGTTTACACAGTTTTTTTAAACAATTATTTTACAGTTGGTAGAAAAAAAAATTAAAAAAAAAAGAAAGGTACAAAAATGAGTACACAAATCCTGTCTTTAACTTTCCCCACTTTCCCACTTTCAGTTGCGTGATTCCTAGCTAAAATAACGGTTATTGTAATATTTGTATTTAATAAAAGAAATTAAAAACTTGCTTGCTCTGTTGACATGTGGAGTTATAAAGCACTTGGGGATTGGCAGAACACTTGAGAAGTGTCAAGAAGCACTCCGCTATGTGTACCTCATATTCTGCCAACCCCAGCTTGCTTTATTGCTGCACACAGCATGTGCACACATTTTCTTTTTATTCACGAGTTAGTTTATTTTCATTTCTTACCTTCTATGGGTATGTTGTACCGGTGAGCAAGATACATCACATTATCACCTACTTTGCCTTTTACTTCTGTTCTGTTTCCCTTGGAGTCTATGTATGTTATATTCACCCTGGTAATGAAAATTAAATCACTGCTGATATTACAGCCTTAATCTCTCCCATTTCCAGACAAGATTGGGGTTAGGCCAGGTTTTCACTAGCAGCACAAGCACCCGGAGAGGGGGGGTACTCCCTTATATTTGCTATATGGGTATGTGCTGCCAAACTGGGTATGGTTTTCAGCGATTCTACTCTGGAACAGGGTATATAAAATCATGCTCACTCTGGGACAGGGTTTATGAAATCACGCTCTCTCCTCTCTGGAACAGGGTCAGGGTTCAGTGGGCTCAGCGGCACATCCCTACCCTAAACTTGCAAGAGTATTCCCCGGGCACAAGCATAACAATTAGCATACATGTATACAAGAGCAGATTCCACTAAGTTTAACTGAACTTTTTGTTCTACCCAAATATAAAAGGATTAAGTAATGGTTATGCTTAAATGCTTGGGTCATATTGCTGAAAACCCAGCTTTACCAATATTTCATCCAGGGTTAGTAAGGAAAAGGATGGGAGTGTGCATGGGAATGGATCAAACTATGTTCTGAAGCTCAAGAGAGTGACACTCTATTCAATATTTCCTTACAGATTTTTTGTGCATAAGGTTTTCCCATTTCAGAGCATGTGTCATTCCATAGAGTATCATTTCRTTATTTAACGGTTAAAACAAAGAATCTTATTCTGAAGAGAATGACACATGATTGGAAATCAGAAAACATTACGCTTAAGTTTAAGAGGTCCACTCACTCTATCCTTTAAAAAATAAAGAAATAATGCTAAAGGAATTGCATGTGGTCTGCCATTAAGAATTGCATGCACCAAAACTAAATTAGTATTTAATAATAATATCCATTAAATATCAACACGAATGCTAAAATAATAACTATGGGCTATGCATTTTTCTTTTCTTTTCTTTTTTTCCGCTCAAAGAAGAACGTTATGTAAGCTTTAAGTCTGACACACCAGAAGTTACTACATGTATAACCTAATGATAGCCAAAAAATTGAACTCACACTTCCTCGGGCGATTTTGGATCCTGCCATTCGTAATCACCTGTTAATAAAGGCCCTAACGAAACAGAAATTAATGCATAATCATAAATATGAACAATCAAAATTTGATCATTTTTCAACCGTATTCCTGAGAAAATTGAGGTGACTTCTAATCTTACCTCGAGATATATGAAAATTTCTCTTTAAATATCCATTATTTGTGCGAGCTGCAGGCATAAATAACCTTCTAAATGAACTGAAGGTGAGTCCTAGGATGGAAAAAGCCCTATTTGTAGCAAGCATATTGTAAAATTTGAGTTTTTTTACACGTTTGATTGTGGTCCATGTGTGTCGTTTGTTTTGCTTTGAACTGATAACCCCTACCACAGGAACCCCAATTAATTTCTTAAGCACGAAGTCGAGGAGGTCTGGGTACGGGAATGATCCAAAATATTTTCAAGTTTTTTTCAAGTTTTTTTTTCATCTTTTCACGGTGTATAATTTACCTTTTTATCATTACTGTTTCATTAGGAACACCGACGCAGCTCACACTAGTTTTTAGCTTGTTATCTCTTCAAAATATTTTCATGCGGGCTACCTGTGTTGGGTGGAAAATATGCGCATGCGCATTTCGATCAGTTCCCAAAGAAAAGCTGCATGTGTTTTGTTGAAGAAGGAAGATTTTAGTCCAAAAAAATCTCTTGAAAAAATGACAGTGAGCGAAGGAGCCCTCTCTACGAGGGTTATACAAGTAACAAACGTTGCTCCTAACGCTACAACTGACCAAATGAGGATTTTATTTGGCTTTCTTGGCGAGATTGAAGACTTGAAACTTTTCCCAGAGTAAGTAAAACTTTGATTGAAAATCTAAAACAATTCTTAAACTTTAGACGATTTGATTTAGTCCTAAAATAATCTTTAAGTTTAAAATGTGATATATCCCTTTAAAAAGATAAAATTTTGCTTAAAAATGATGTAGCGATTCAATAATCAGGCGAAAACCACAGGAAGCCCAAGGGGAAAGAGTTTACTTTTTAACGTGGGAGGGAGAAATCGTCTCTTCAAAGGCCGATTCCATAATGAATTGACAGCTAACGGTTGCACTACTTCTTGTCACTTTGGACATGGGTTATATCTCTGGACCATTTTCACAYGGTTCCTTGTTGGATTTCTTGTGCTTCAAGGGGTTTTCTCATAGGCATTAATAATTCATAAGTAAACCAGCCAATCAATGGGCTATTTTTGGGTCACATGATGTTACTTGAGACCTGGTAAAGTCCTGTGAAAGGACTGAATTCAGTCTGTAGTAACTGGAACAAAATTAATTCGACTTCGCCTCGTGAAACATCAAGACTCTCGGGAAAACAAAACTATTTCCCTCGCGACCAGACATTAAGTGTATATTGTTTGCACTGTATCTATATTCATGTGTCTTCTCATGTGCAGCTATCAAGCAAAGAAATGATACTCTAGGGAATGACAAATGAAATTTTGCTTAAAGGAAAGAGGTGTACATGTATGAAATTATAACTTCTTACTACACTTGTTTTCAGGTACTCTGCCATTCCAGTTCAGTCRCGGGTCTGTTTCGTGAAGTTTAAAGAGCCGTCAAGTACAGATATTGCACAACACCTCACCAACACTGTGTTTATTGACAAGCATCTGATTATCATTCCAATACCTGAAGGTACAGTACTGTATACATATACACCTACATGTAATTGAAAAAACATAGTCGGGTTTGAGAAGGTCATATCATCGAAGCTAAGACCGAAAAGGATTTTGGGTACTCCGAAATGTGTATTATGTTTGCATATAGACATGTAAAAATGCACAGTAGAGCAAAGTCGGTCGACCTAGATTAACAACATGCCAAAGCCATGATGTATAAAATGTGCACAGGAAGGGAAATCTGCAATACGCATGAAATTAGCATAATTGATTGTCTTCCCATGCTCCCCTTCGGTCTTAGCTTTGATGAYATAACCTTTTTTGAACCCGACAACATTTTTTCAATTAGGTGTATATTTTTATTACACTTTTATTGATATCCATATGATAAAGTTGTGAATAAAAAACATATCAGTAAAGTGATTTGATATCCTTTAATGGTAAACAYGAAACTGAAAATTTTGTGATTTTGTCGACCTCATTTGTGTAACAAACAATGTACATGTATTACATGTTAAGTGCCTGATATCTTTGTATTCACTTGTTTTCTGTAACATATAATGTTGACTATAGGAGAAATAGCATTAAACACAAAATCAAATATTTTATAAGGATTTGTATGGCGAAATGTGTTGGATGGCAAAAGCACAATTTACCCATACAAATGCTTATAAAATATTTGATTTTGTATAATCTCATTTCTCCTGTGTTACATGTCATAAGCTAAAACTTTGCCTTCTTACTAATATTGAGGTGCTCTTTCRATATCTGGTGTTCATTTTGACACAACGTCTCTTTTTACRGGGGGTAGGGTCACATGACCTGTTGTTACAAAAGGCCATTATTACTAGCAACCGTTTTTGGTTGAAGTGTGCCYCCCCTCCCCCTAAGTTTGATGTAAATATAACTAGGAGGCATTTTTTAATTTTCATTCTTTTCTTAATTACTAATATTTTTGAATATCAATTTTCTTAAGAACATTAATAATATATTTTGTTTTATGATTATATTGATGTAAAGATGCTTTAGAATATATTTATCGTTTGTAACTTATTAAGTTATTATAATATTAACCTTGTTTATTAAAGATTCTTTGACCAGACCAGAGATGATTGGAGATGTTTCTACTGAAGGAACCTTGATACCTCTACCTCACATGGCACCGCAGGTACATTGTGTACACACATTTTACTCTGGAACAGGGTCAGGGTTCAGAGGGCTCAGCAGCACATCCCTACCCTAAACGGGCAAGACTAACCCTCCCTCCCCCCCACCGGGGTTTAAAGTAGATAAATTTATTACAGTAAATGTACTTCTTTTGTCGTCATGCACTCAAATAATGTTGGAAAAGTTGGAAAAGATCTACTGTTTGTTTGTACATTGATGCTACATACTAATTTTAAGATTATCACTAGTAGTAGTATGACTATTACTATTCATGTCTCAATGCCGCAACCCACGCCTACCAATGCCTACATACATGTACTTAGTTTTTTATTTGTATCTATGGAATAGATTATCACTACTGGTGGAACGACTATTACTGTCCCAGCCTCAATGCCGCAACCTCCTCCGTTGACTGATGTCRCAGACTCTCACAAGTTGGAAGAAATTCGCAGGACTGTATTTGTCAGCAACATGGACAAGAGTGTGAGTAAAACTATGACTTTTCATTTTTTTTTTTTT